AAATGATCAGCCAGTTCGCTAATCTCGTAACCTATACTATTTAAGTATTCATCAAAATATTATGGAAACTTGGGAAATTGCGCGCGATAATTTTTCAAGTTAAGGTTTGGATGAATGTGAGCAAAAGATTAGGATAGTTATGTCATTCTCAACTGACAAAAAAAGAGTGTGAGTGAGTTAACTTGTCCGAAACTTACCCATTTCAGGTTGTGGCTTACAAAAGCTTCACATATGATCGTGAGCAAGCGTTACTACTACAAGACTCGGGTGACTATTCCACTAATTTAATGTTTTGTCAGTATATGAAGCATAGGCCTGCCAAGCATGCAATTATGCTCTTGCACAGTCTTCGGCTTTATATGCCTGGAGGGAAAAGCAACCACTGGATGCTTCCGCCATCTCATGTCCATGCAAACAGACGGTGTTTGAGGATAAACAAGTCCGGTATGATGCACCAGTTGAGGTGACGTGAATGTGACAACGTTGACATCATTCAGATTGCCATTCTTTGCACATTTTCAGGCGGTAGGTTTTCGCCTTTTGCATAATGGAAATGGGCCCATGCCGTATACTCCTATCATGGTGATACCTTGACCAATAACCTCGGCTTGTCGCGGCACGATTGGCTCATTTATGAAACGTGATTTTCCCCAAGTGTATTGTCAAGGGATTGATGCTAACGGTTAGGCTGACTGTCACTTTGGCCTATGCTGTCCAATTTTCTGCTTCATTTAAGGTACTCTTGAGGGATCATCTGACCCCACCTCCCAGATACTGTTCCGCCATTTCAAATCCACTGCAAAACCATTTTATCTTGCTCTAATCTTTGAGGTAGATTTTTCACATGGATATGGACCCTCATTGGTCCAAGTATAGCATACAGAGGTTCTCCACTACCAATTAAAAGGAGGTGAGGAAGCTGCCGTTCAGATGAACCGTGGAGTGACAGCTGTGCACCAAAGTTGTCCAGTATAATTAGAGTAGAACTAGTTCACTTGGGGTAGCAAAAGCAGAGTTCTGGAGTGCACCATAGTGACAACTTTAATGAAGCTTATGAATAACGCATCTACTTGATGGTCCGACCTGATCGAGTTTTCGCGCATCCATCACAAAAACCCATGGTGCTTTGGTGACTGTAAACCGTTATTCTGGATACGATGGTGCAGAAGAATCTTCATCTACCTCACGGTTACTCTTAGGTCGCTGACGTCACGTCAGCTGGTCGATAACTGGTCTTGCCATGTTCGCATCGACCATTATGGATAGGCCTGAGGATAACTATTTTCAGCGCAGCTGACATCAATAGATTGTTCGACTGAGGATCATTGCAAAAGCGAAGGTTCGTGTGGATGAAACGAAGGGATGAAACCCGTCGAAGTAAGGAGCCTTTTATTCCTCCACATATATCAGGATCTGAGGTATTCCACTCGCATTGCATTTGTACTATCGCTGCTACTCGTCTTTCAGGTTAGTTTCCTCGTGATCCCTCTCGTGCATGTTTGAAGACGCTGAAAGTGTTGGCTACTAATAGATGTCTGGCATTCTTTGCTGTTAGAACTTTCCATCCAAATTGTCTGAATTAGTGTCTGGAGGTTATAGTAGGCTAGATTGGCCACCTTCATTCGTCTTTATTAATTTTCTCGCCATAAGCCTTTCAAATAAATGAAGTTGTGTGGCAGCAAAGCATCTGTTAAACACTGATATTTTGCTTTCGATGATGACGATGGTGGTGATAAATGCAGTTGTACTTATGCTCTTTTATTGCCGCCAATCTATCCAGGAGCCGATGAACGCCTGTGGTAGATTTAGGAGTAGGTGTGAGATAGCAAGATGCCCACAGAAAAACATCTGTGATTGGCACACTTTATTCCTTGATTAATCTTCCCTCAGTCAAATGCTTGAAGTAGTAGTATTTTGAAGACTGTAGCAGACTCTCAGTGATGATGTGGGCTTAAAAGTTATGATTACTGTGTTTAACTTGAGAATTATACAAGTTGCATTGGTATTTTGTGGTTTCTAGTGCAATAATCATTACTGCCGGTATGTTGACGACGTCTTCGCCGTTGTTAACGACGAAGACGAATTGGAATCACTCCAACAAGAGTTCAATAAGGCCCACACTGCCATTCAATTCACCTCGGAAGGAGAAACGGACAACTTCTTCCACTCCCTAAATGTTGCCCTTGAACGACGTCACGATGGTGCACTGAAACGATCGGTGTACCGGAAACCTACTTGATCAGGTCAATACATCAACTTTAGCAGCTTCGTGCCACTAAAGCAGAAACGGAACCTGATCCGCAGCCTAACTAACAGAGCGAAGAAAATATGCTCTGAGGATGCACTGGAACAAGAATTCCAAACTCTCACCAACGTCCTGAGAGACAATGGATTCCCCGACAAATTTATTACAAAACATTTGAACAGGGAAGAAGCAAACACCATCACAGCCACAGCTGGAAGGAAACCAGTTTACATTAACCTCCCGTTTAAGGGAGATATACCGGCCGATCTACTGAACAGAAGACTTTCCACCAGTCTGAACAAAGTTTTCCCGGCCGCAAAACTCCGAACCTGGTTCACCAGCAATCGTTTGTGCCCCTTTAATCTCAAGGATAGAGTGCCGGTCCACGCCCAAAATATGTTAGTTTACTCATTCTCTTGCTGCTGTGCAGCGAAATACATCGGACGCACGACTAGGCAACTCAGCCAAAGAATGAAGGAACACAATCCACCCTGGCTAGCTTCTGGAACCAGGAGGACGATAACCAGTTCCGTAGTACAACATTTAGCCGACACTGCACACAACGTGATACCCAGCCAAAGTTTCCGCGTTGTTTACAAGGCGCCGGCTAACCAACCCAGATCAGTACAGCAGCGCACAATTGCAGTGGCTGAAGCTATCGCCATACGACATCGCGACCCGATCCTTTGTCGGCAAAAACGCTTTGTTCGTGTGTTGTACTTACCATGGTCCAACTCATCTCCCCCCACACATGCATCGTGTGCTGAACACACAACTACAGCACCCCCCGAGCTGACTAGCTCAAGTCATCCTATTGGCGACCTGAACTAATGGTTCTTTGATAGGTAACCAGTGTCATCTCACTCGATTCCCTGTCCATTTACACCATACTCATTCAAATATGTTAGACACCGCTCTCTTAACCTTTGCAATTGTATGACTTGAAAAAACCTTGCCGAAAACATGTCCGTCAACCCATCTGTTTTCCTATTATAAATGGGAATTTTCGGAATCATAGAAGAATAGCAATCCCAACATGTCAAACAGCTTACTTTGGTGAAAGAAATACGTTGATGCGGACCCTCTAAGCCCGTTTTCGTCCCATTCATTTCCGAAGGTTTTATTGTTTCACAAACTACTCGGACCTTTCGGATGTTCAAAGTGTTTAGTAGAATACACATTCTAGGATTTGACTGCAAAATGCACCTCGGTGACGCTTTCCAAAATGCGTCGCAACAACAATCGATTAGAGGGTTCTGGCTAATTAATTCACCAAACCTAAGCCTACATATGGAGCTCTGGAACAATCAGCTGGGCAACAAACCATAGAGCATAGCCACACAAATGGAATACTAATAATGATTCAAGAGAACATATTGATGCTCGATGGGATTTACATCTGCTAGGAGCAAAATGTATTCCAACAGGTATTCAGATGGTTTTGTCTGATCATTTCGGCTGCCTTTTTTATATACGACATATAGCCATTATGGGCATTAGCATAATGGGTATTTAGAGTAAAAGTTGCTATCCACGAGTTCCAGATAGGTAAAAAAAGTTTATTTGAATGACGTGTTGATACTACTGAGTTCAACCTTCTTCAGGGAGCAAGTAATGTTTCACAAAAATGAGCACTTTCTTGCTGGGGATTGATAATGTTCATTGCATACCATCACGCTGTGTATATTTCGTTCAAAGATCTTGCTGAAGACTCTACCGAAACATGGTATACACAAAGAAATCTAATGCCATACCCGCAGCGCAAATGCAACTCACTTTGTTCGAGCTTGTATGCACTTGTTCGAAAAAGTAAACACTTCATCCCGATGCATAGAGATTTTGCAGCTGGTCAACAATCATGGTAACTGAGCCCATTCTATACCGGCTGCAAGCCCTCGATCACAGATGGTAAACGATTCACGGAGTTGGGTATATCAATCAGTTTGTAGGTACACTCTGCACTTATACGATGTTCGTAATCAAATGTTGGCTTTGGTAGCACAAGGAGTCTCTAAATTTGTCGGGGGCCAAGGGTCCCTCTTATTATTTACCAACATCGAATTTGAGCTCAATCAGAAATATTTTCACGTATCATTTGGGTTGTGAAGAGCCGACAGTGCAGCAGGTACCTGTTTCTCATCCTTCTTAGAGTCGTTAGCGGTGCTCATCACACCGGCCATTGTTTGAGGACTTAACCATTCGGTGACAAGCAGCTGATTAGCAGTGTGATTAGCTTGCACTTAGACAGAATATAGAGCCACTCATCCTTTAATCACGGAATCCTCATCAGGCACTGACTGGCTTCGTGAGTGAATATTTCTCATTCACTTGGTGTTTCAGCATACGTTGTCTGAATTTACAGGACGAAGTGTCTATTGCGAACGATAATTACTGAAATCAGAGCTACTACCACGTGAACTAAAGTCCTTTGATTCAAGAGGCAGCTTAATCACTGGGCAAGATGTGTAGACGATGGATTCCCCAACGAGTAAAAACCAGTTGGCCTTGGTTGTTAAGTGGAGCTGAGTTCAGCTGCAGAATTCCTTTTTTTCTTCGCGTTCGTTCATTTTCTAACCAAATGATTTGTGAGTTTAAAATTCTCCTGTATTGCAGTAGTAGCTTGGGTATCATGCACGAAGTGGAATTCATGACCTGAAGGATTGTCAATCACAACTTTTGAAGCACCAAATCACAGTATCAAAATAATCGCTTAACTACGGGCACCTCTACACAGCATTAATTTAGACGAACTCACTTATTGTTCCAAGCCTGCTCAAACACTTCTAAAGAATCAACCATGCGATTTTGATTGCGGTCCTCACGTAGTGTTTGATCAAAGCTGCTACTGTCAACCAGAAACAGGATGGCAGTCACGTTGTCGAAAAGTTGAATCCACTTTTTTCTGGCTCCCCGTTGTCCACTGACATCGAAAACTCTGTACAACGGGATAATGTTTGTGGAAAACAGATGAAAAATTGTGAGCACAAGTGAAAATAAGCCGAACATGCCTTAGGGTGTTGTAGTAACAAGTTGTCTGGTGGATGTTACTTTGAGCCGTTGAAAGAATTAAATCGGAGTTAAAACGCGAAGTTTTCTTTGAGACGAATAAAGATGGTACTGGTTTAGTAACGAATGTACTATGCTCCATTATTTTAAGGTATTTAATTTACAAACTCGTATAACCCGTACTAGTGAAGACTTATTGAGCACCCATCTCAACTCGACCACCATCAAACGTAAACGCTTCCTTGATTCGCAGTCAAGCGTCACCTATGTGGTCCGAGTTTAGTGACCCAAATTGTGGTAGTATCGCTGAAGCTAAGGATGAACCATCTTTGACGTGATCAACAATCTCATATTCAATGCAAAATACACCAAAAATGTAAGAATGCTTGTGACTCCGTAATGCGCAACTACTCGGTTTGTGACTGGATTTCCATTTCCCCCAGGCAGTTGTGAATTTGGTTGTAGTCGAATTTGGAGACAACTACTATGGGATGGAATTACAGTGAGCGTTGATTCAAAGCAGAAGAAATTGACTCCATGCAAGTGTTTAGGTTTTTGCAATTTTCTCACTTTACGGCAAACGAGGGGATGTTCAGCGGAAAACGCAAAAACTGTAATTTTGTATCCAGAAAAATATAAAAAATCCCATTCTGTTCCGTAAGACTTTTGACGACTACATGTGTAGGGGATTGTTTCTATGGTTCTTCACGAATACAGGCGATGACAAGCCGGCAAAAACTTCTAAAAGTGTGTAAATAACCTAGTAACGTGGACGATAATATCTCAAACGGACATTTAAAATGGTCGAAGTTACAAGGAGATACACAAGTCAGTCAAGCGTTGACAGGATGTGTCAAGTATAAACACCAAATATTTCTTACTTAAAGGCAAGTGTCAAAGGCTGTTTGCCGAACTATGTGAATAAAATGTATTGGACGTTTCTACCTGGTTTCTGATACATATTTCCAGGTAAGCGGATTCACCACCTCGGGCACCTTGGTATACTTAATTCGGTGTCCCCTGTGATGGTATCTCTCGTCAATGCTGATGGAATGGAATGGTCTACAGAAAAAGGCAAGTCCAGTGATTTTTGGTTTGCTTGCCGTCGCCAAGGAGATGAACGGATGTTTCATTTCCATGCAATGTACGACAAATGTGCTCCTGGGAGGCTTCTGATTTGGCTGTATTATAGTGATTCGATACAAACCATGCCGACTTGCCGGTTAAGCGGCAGCAGTTATGCTCGTGCTATTTACTTGTGAAAATCTTACTGATAAGCCCACGCGTACACATCTGTTGTGAGGAGAGATTGGTATCTAACTGACGGGACAATGATATATTGTGGCAAAATTAACCTCAATAATATGGAAGGTGTGGGTCTGTTTGGTCAGTGCTCGGTTCTGTGTTAGCTGCAGGAATAGCTTCAAGCTAAGCATCGGAGGCTGCTGAACTTAAAGTTAGGGCGGTGTACAGGTAACTGAATGGCTAAAAACGCCCCACTTTGAGGAAGGGGACACGTCCGGAAAAAGCGTGGGATAACTATCGCCAACTTATTTTCCAATTTCTTTGATACAGGGTTGATGTGTGAACTGAGAACCTTTCTGTGAGTCCGATGTTGGTGTACGTGGCATTCGCTAGACTGACAACCAGATAAAACTTTATCACTCTGAACTTTCACCTTAATTTCTTTGCTTTGGTGGATTGATTTAACACTCCTTAGGCTCTGCAAAGCGAATTAGTTTATCTTTAATGCCTTAGTCTTTTTTATGTTAAGTCCGACATCGGAATGTCGATTACTCTGTTAAGATAGATTGTCACCTCTCTTCGCACCAAAATCCGGCTTACGCTAGGTGCTTCATGACGCGTATAAATGGCAAAAACGAAGGAATCTAGAGAATTTACGGACAACTAAGCGATGTGGCTGAACAAGGAAGAGCGGAAACGAAAGCAGGTGGGGAGCGAAAGAAAAACGATGCGTGTCATAAAGTTCTTATCTTGTTTGCGGCGTGGCCTTCAGGGTTAACTGTGCACATCACACTCTGAGTTACATTCTCTCCAAAAATCACAGAAGTTGATGGTGGTGGAATGGAAAAGGGAAACGAAGCCTACTTGATAAGTATTAAAGTGATTTCTTTCTGCGAGTCATGGGGATTTTGCATGTTCAGACGCCGAAGTGGATAAATCTTGAGGCACGTACCAGTAAACTAAGTTTCCAGCAAATTTGAACGCACAGACTGTTCCAAGTTATATTGCGAGAAAGCAGAAATACTCAAATCGGATTTCGGAACTCTTTTAGATTTGACTGATTCACTCGAGTCAATCGAGAGTAGTATTTCCAAGGCACTACGTAATCCTTATTCTATGGGTCACTTCCAGCCTCAGTGTCACTGACCGGAAAATGAAATACCCACATCATCCCGCGCCAGATAACTGCACATTGAAGTGAAAGTATGATCTCCACGGAGAACTAAGTTGCACGGGACCGCGCTGGTCTAACCGACAACTACATAGAAGGTGACGGTAAAATGTAAGCAACTTGGTAAAGTAATAGTGGAAAATTCCCGGGGGGCATGGCATGGTTCATCAACCAATGCAATTTTGTAACCTTGCTTTAATCAGCCACTTTTTGGAGCGTGATGTCGGAAAGGCATTAAAATTCTGGGAGACATTACTGTGTATTGTTAGATTTATTTGTCCGCCTGTGGTTTAAAAATCACTTGTGGATTAAGCACAGGCAAAATTGAGAAGAAAATATAGACTACACTTTTCTGCAAAACTTCTAAATGTCAGCCATAAAACTCGCTTGTGTGCTCGCAACACATACCAGGTTAAGAGCAGTTGCTTCTGACACTGTCAATTAGGAGAGCATGGAGCAGAGATCCCATGGCAACGTGATTTGTTTTCTGATAAAGGGTTATGTAAAAATTCATCTATCTGCATTCAAAAAAACTTCGTTTAGGAGTATTGCTTATGTTTTTTCGTTGATATTATTGGTTTTCATTGGTATTCTGGCATGCAATCTTATACCATATTACTTCATCTTTTTATTTGATCGCAGCAATTAAATTGTTACTTTTATGTTGGCGGGTTTCATGCTTGATTCGTGTACTTTGAACCTAAAGAGGAGAAGTCACTGTCATGGAAAGCGCAAAACAGCGTTATCTACCATTAATGAACAAGCTCACCATCCATCAAATTGGAGACCTCTTGGTAGACTCATGTGAGGGAGAACCATCCCTGGAAAAATTTTCACGTATCATTTAGAATAAGTTTCTTTTCTTTCCTATTAAATACGAATATTTTCTTCTTGTGGACTACCGAATCCACTATTGAAGGGACTACCTAGCGCTTGGGTTTTTCTACTGCTTAGAACTTAACTCATGCTTTCGGATAAAATGTGACGGTGACTGTGATGAGTGAGTACCAAATATTTCGATCCGGATGGATATAATTGGAAATTGCCAAACAGATGATAAGATTTTGGAAAAATGTGGAGTGCTTCATAAAGTTACAGTCGGGAAGATAACCTGATGTTTATTTTATTGCTTTGTGGTTATTCATATTACTCACTGGTTTATTTTGGGTTAGAGCTTTCAAGATTTTTCTTAAACCTGTAAATCTTGTATGACATTTTTCATTATGTTCATCTGTCGCTTAAGTCGCCCGGTTTCACCCGGTTTCTATATTTTATCGAACAAAAGGCTTGTTCACAAATATTTTAAATTTCAAAAGTCAGTTTATTTTTCCTTCAAGTCTACTACTGTGAGTCCCGTTAGACTCTCAAGATAGGATCATTTTTTGATAGAATTTCCACTCAACATTTCTTTCTATTGTATGCCAACGTGTTGTCGGCAGGGCTCATTCTGTATTCGCTGGGCCAAGCGGAAATGTTAAAACAATGAAACTGTGGGTTAGTATATTCAGTCTGTGTATGCTATTTGACAAATTCCGTTTCAATATTTTTTAATTTGGCTTAAAATATCAATAGCTTGGGTGCATGATGCCTACTTAAGCTCAGGCGGTCAGAAACCTGAAGGAAAAGTTGGATTATCTCAGAGGTAGATCGTTTTGTTGATTCGCATGCCGTAATTGCGTACTACATGGCAACGAAGTACTGTGATAGACTGCGTGATTACAAAACCCTAAATCCATAATGTCACTGGATCCAGAAATGAGTCTGCAACTGCCTAAAAGCAATCAAACTATGTTCAATAGTTTGAAGGCTTTCATGATCCTATTTGAGGGATGTTCTGACAGGTAGTCACAGTCAATGTGGAACAATAAACAGCAAGTTTCTAGCACACTGTCATTTTCATATTGAGCCTCGGCAAACTAACCGTAGGCTTCGGTGAGATATCAGCTGGTTGACTTGTCAGTTTAGTGACCCTGCTTCGGATGTCAAACTTGATGACTGATTCCAAACACGTAAGCTCATCAGTCAAAGAAACCACTTTACTTGGGACTAGGGGGATTGTACTTGTACTGCGAAGCTTCGGGGATGCGGAACAAGGAGCAGAAACGCGTTATGCAATGGCTTGGTGTAAACACAACCAAACCTTCGGAGTTTCTCTATACACTAACTTAGCATTACCGGGAGAGTTAGATGAATCTGTTGTCTGTACTATTCAACTAAATTTTCTACAGAACGCTGCATTATGTTTTCGCTGGATACGGTACTCATGAAAGAGGGGCGTTTCTGACGTAACGTTCCATCTATTAGTTTTCTGAATTCTCTGACACCTCAAAGGCTTATATGTAAATGACTGTGTAACCCTATTTAGCTAAAATTAAGGTACCAGTCGAGTGCCTAATGGGCCAAGAATTATTCACACTATCATTAAAGCTGTTGTCTACACTCAATATCTCCCGTGACTATTCCTTCATCCGTACGGTAACACTTAGAGACCTTGAATACACTGCAATAGGATT